GCAACACTCGTATATCAAGAACGCGCTACTTGTCTGCGTCCTCTCACTTGTGGTTTTCTAGTGCTGCTTCACTGGGGGAATTTGGTATAGACACAAGTGTAGCACATTGAGGAACGCAGCGAAGAGCATGGAAGTGGCGCCTGGCTATCCCTTCCCTCTAGCCCCGTTTCCGTGCACCTTTGAGCGGAAAAAGTGGAACGCTACTCACGCACGGAAAAGCCACTCACGGGGGTGAGTACCGCTTGCCTTTATTTTTTTTCGTGTTCATATATGTTCCAGCCTTTTGTCGAGCGAAAACTGTCCAGAAAAAGCTTTCTTCAACCAACTCGTCATGAACTTTTCTTTCTTACTTTTCTTTACTTTCTTTGCTCTGAACTTTTCTTACTTTCTTGGCATCCGCAGAAGCCAGCACGAAAATCGAACTACAACTCTGTTGCAAATGCGTAGACCCCTACAACATGAGCCAAATCGCGATAGGTAACCGTTCCATGACCTGAGAGACCCTCGCTGTAAGTGGAGTAGAATATTTCTACCATGCATGTGTGAGGTCCGATCGCACGCTTCACAGCTGCAGCATGTACACGATCGTCTTCTCTGACTGGAATTCTTCTTATGGTCATCCCGAAGAGTTCTGCTGCTTTGTCTAGCGCTGGATGAGCCGTGGAAGGAGCTACTATCTCTGGATGATACATTCCTCTTGCAATGCCGCGATTTCGATAAGCTTAAATCAAGGACAGTTATCCGCTTAAAATCTAAGGCATCAGATAAATTACGAGATAAGGACATGAAATCCTAGCTACACCCAGCAAAAGCCAAACTAACCGAGGCATGCTAACAACGTCACTTCAGTTCCACCACCAGCAACAACACCACAGGCTTCCTGACCACCATGAAACATGGATAGCGACATCCTTAGAATCTCAAAACATAAGCATCAGTGAGTCCGAAGGCCACATCAAGGGAACCATATCCTATTTTGAACAAACCTCAGCCTCCATTTTTCTGGCTCCTGGGAAAGCATCTGATCGATGAGGGTCGGAGTGAGAAAACAGGTCATAAATCTGTGAATATAGGATTAGAGACATACTCGACTAGTTGACTACACTCATAATTTCACCTTGGCACAGAGTGATAGGTCCGTATTTCTAGTGCGAGGGTCGTAGTGCTCCATATATCGTCGTTCTCCCATTGCAGCATACTGTCGCGCTTCGGAAAGAAGTTCCTCGCCGCTTAGTGGATGCTCAGGCAGAAATTTGTAGAAGTCACGTTTCTTTAAAAGTTGAATGCTCAACAATGAAATTACGATGAGACAAACAATAAATGCGGAAAGAATGAAGTCAAATTCCTAGACCTGGTCATATTGATGAACCTCTTCTTCAATTTCACGTCGGGCCCGTTCAAGATCTGCTTTAACTCGTCGCTTAACCCATGGCAGAGAACGAATAATGGAATATATAGGAACTTCTGAAAAGATAACTCGTATAGGGTACCAAAAAAGTGACAAGCAGTCATTAAAGACCCAGCATACAAAACCAAAACAACCTCTCGGCTTTGCTCAGCCTGCACGCATGTGGTGAAATGAACAAAAAAAAGGAATGTAAAGAGAAATTTCATGTTGTGAAATAAGTTCCCGTCGTTTTTTTTCATCGAAAACCTCAATACTTCGCTACACTTACAACAATGAGATAATTTAGTCATTGCCTACGATCGCCTCTCTCGTTCCTGCTCATTTGTTGATGCTGCGCAAAAACTCATGGTTATGTTCGATTGTCGAGATTCTTGTCGTTATTGAAGTCACGATCCCATTCATCTGATACACAGACATCTTATTTGGACATGGTAGCCCTGCCCGCAAGCATAGAGAATGTAGTACTTTTTCAGCACAAAAACACATGAAGAATGCGCCGCCTGCTCGCGACGAGGCCACGGCTCCCCACCCACTGGCCCTCGCAACGCTCAACTTCCATTTATAAAGGCTTTCGGTGATGCGATTGCTCCGCTATTAGCCCTTTCTACTCCAGTGATGTGTAAGGAGAGCTGGCACTAATAAGTGAGAACTCGACTGACCACGCCCTTTCCTCACTTTTTGCACTCTTGCACTTTTGCGTAAGCGCGGTTCAGCGTGGGGTTGATGTGGTGAGTGCATGTTCGGGCGGGTCTTCCCGCTTTTTTTTGTCCTTTAGTGTGTCCGCATGCGCGTGCCACTAGTATGTTGAGCCCGCACACACTCACCCATCTTTCGATTACGCGAAAGCCTTTGAAATAGCACTCTTTTATTGATTCTGTCTGGCTAGTTCGGCGAGCGTATTGATTTGAGTTGCTGAACTTTTCACCAATTGAATCTTGACGGCCGCCCTCTTCAAGGTGGACTAACTTTGCTTACTGTGAGTTGGCCATGTCATATTTCTGAAGTGTTCCGACGATCATTTGCGCATCGATTTTCTTTAGATTTCAGCACCTTAATCCTCATAATCGCCCAGAAAGGTCTGCCTGAAGTTGTTCTAGTGGTCGTCTCCGATCGAAACTTCACATCTTAGACATTGTTCGAATTCATTTTCAATCGACTTTCGCAATCATAGCCATCCTTCCACCTCGAATGAACAAACACGCCAAAAGTCTCCTGAGAAGTTCCATAGTTTTACAAGACCCGTATCAGAATTTCCGCTACGACTTTCGCTGCTTCCCAGCATGCTCCTTCAAGGAGAACACAAGAAACAGAAAATAAATACAGACAAGAAGAAAAACAGCTATTGCGCTTTTGATAGCGCTTCTCACCCGCAGATACTCACTCACATCCGACCAACAAATAATTAAAAACGAGAGAAACCGATTCCCGAACTTCGTAGAAACCTGACCTTGTTCACAGCACAGGGTAGTGGCGCGGCCAAGGAATAGACTTTTTCTCCAAGGCTCATACTTAAACCGGACTACACCAGAGTCCACGCGCAGACTCGTCTCGAAGCGCAAATTAGCGAAATTCGTCGAGTTACCGCGTGGTCCCTTTCAATTAGGCAACGCCAAAACAATTATGCAAGACAAGTAAATCTTGGCAAATCAACCGAATTGAAAAAAGTAGAGTTGTTTGAAATTCGCACTGCAGATTTGGCAAGACTGCGTCAATGCATAAAAAGAAAGTCACACTAAAGAATAAGACTAAACACTAAAGAGGAAACGCAGACCTGACTCTCTGAAAAAATGGCTTGTCAGAGTGATTTATCCGCCTGATCCACATCACGAAGAAGCACGTCGCGATGGTGTAGGACATGATCTGGAAATGGCGATGATAACACGGACTTTAGACGTGCTATGACTGCTTTTGGTTACCTGCCAGGACTCCAAGTGAGAACAGTGTCTGTTGATGGTTGCTCGAGCCTCGTCAACGTGCTCGAAGACGACACGCCACATGGGATTCGAAGAAGCCGTGTGCATTTTTCTATGGAGCAATAGAAATAATGCCTGGATTAAATAAGGGAAAAGAGCAGATAGGGCACAGATCACAACAACCATATGCGACTTCACCACAGAGATTAGAAAAGAGATTTATTGAAGAGAAAACAAGGAAACAAATATACAACAATGCACCCGGTCAAATTAGCCTTGTCGAATTCATGCTTTTTTCCTCATATTACGGAATATTGTTAGGTACTGGTACATAGTATCCAAAGCTGAATATGGTTCTGACGATGACTTGTTGATGACGTCTGGTTTATTACGAGCCTGTAAAAGATAAATAACACCTTTTTTTACACCCTTATACGGAATACGGGTCTACTAGTCATAAAGAACGTAGTTTCAAGACATGTTTATGACTTGAAGGTTTACGTCGTTCCTGGCACGAATTGTTCGTTTACGTCGTTCCTGGCACGAATTGTTCACGTCCACAAAGGAGTAAGTCATGCAGATCTCGTGCCGCAAAAAGGAGCTGAAGGGGCGTGGGAAAGTGGAGAAGCTGAGAGGTCCGAACCCTAGTTCGTAGGTTCCGACCTCCAAATACTCGTTAGCTTCACATAGTACACAAAAATCTCCTATACTGTTTCCTCAGTAGGTCCCTTCTTATCTGTGAGCTCTTACCCGATCTCGTGGAAGTGGAAAAGACTGTGAGGTCTGTCTTGTACTACGATTTCCAGCTGCATATTCTTTGCAAAGCCC